TCAATGAGGGCACACTGCCTGGTTCATGCACGCTACCCATGCACACTGCAATGAGGGCAGCACTGCCTGGTTCAGGAACTCTCGCGCGAGATCGCTGTCCACCATGCCCATATCCTGGAAGAGGGGGCGCGGCACAGCAGGAGGCCCTGCGACCAGGCGGTCGCGGCGGTGAAACCCAACGGAGACGAGGAAAGGGGGAAACGGGAAGAACAGCCGAGGAGGGAGGAGAGAAGGGGGCGCGAGGACTCGCCTGCATCCGGGGAAAACGCCACTCTGCCGGACCTGCCGCGAATTGCGCAAGGAGGCCACGGGTGCAGGAAACCGGCGCGGACCTCCGAATGTCAATGTCTGTGCCGATGTGTGCTCCTCGAACGAAAAGGGGAGGAGGAGGAGGAGGAGGAGGAGGAGGAGGAGGAGGAGCTCCCGACTTGGGCGCGAGCTCCCGACTTGGGCGCCGCGGTCGTGTTCGTAATAGTACTGCGAATAATGGTGCTGCTAGTATTAGCTGCAGTGGCATTATGATTCGTGTCGCTAAAATCGGTGACAGTGCTACTGTTATTAACATTTCCATTACTAATTTCAGTCTTACTCTTATGCTTCATATTATGACTTTGTTTCTGCTTATGTTTCTGCTTCTGAGCCTGCGTCTGCTTCTTAGTGTTATTCATATTATGATATGTCGCCTCTGATTCATCCTATTCTCCTCCTCGTCCTCCCGTCCTTCTCCCCCTGTCCTCCTCCGCCTCCTCCTCCTCCTTCTCCTCCTCCTCCCCCTTCTCCTCCCGCTCCTCCTCCCCCTCCCTTCCCCCTATCCCCCCCTTCTCCTCCTCCTCCTCCTCCTCCTCGTCCTCCTCCTCCTCCTCCTCCTCGTCCAGAGCGAGTGGCCATGGACAGCCAGCCAAGGATCGACCTAAACTGTGTTTTTTGTTGTCGGTTTAGTTTCGCTGACCCTCATTTGTCTTCAATCCGCCTGTGCTGCAAAACGAAATCGAGACGAAAACGGCCCACGAAATCGCCCAAACATCGTTCAGGTTGACCACTGCAACCGGCTTCCATGCAGCTTGAATCTCTGTAGGACGGCTGGCGTCCACCCAAGCTTATATGCAGCACGCACCGCTGGGCCTGGTTAGATGCCCTGTCTCATGTGCGTCCGTGTATAAACAGACTGCAGATGAATGTGTGCGGATGGCGGGCCAGTGAAGCACCTTGAGCCAAGATGGCCTCGAGCCGAAGTGGCGACGGGTGCGCGCGTGACGCGGCTTGTGGCTGGGCCTGCAGAAGAGTGCACCGCGCTCGAACGCCAGTATCCGACCCCGCCGCCGCAGCCTCCCACCCAACTGGGAGCGTCCAAGAGGGGGCGTCCGAGGGGGGGGCTGGCAAATCTTGGCCCGAGGCACACCCGCGGCCAAGAAGGGGGCCAAGGGACGTCTTGAAACGAGAGGGACCGCGAGTATGTGATGATGTCGTGGCCCCGGCGATGATATCTCCTCCTCCTCCTCCTCCTCCTCCTCCTCCTTTTCCTCATCCTTTTCCTCCTCCTCCTCCTCCTCCTGCTGCTCTTCCTCCTCCTCCTCCTCCTCCTCCTCCTCTTCCTCCTCCTCCTCCTCCTCCTCCTCCTCCTCCCCCTCCTTTCCCCATGGTCATCAACCCCCTCTTGGCCGCCCCCGATCATCCCCATCCCGGGTCCCCGCACCCCACTTCCGGCAGCAGTAGGCACGCCATCCCCGGCGGCGGCGCACGGGGCTCTCGTTCAGGCTCCCGCGGCGGATGCTGCATCAAACAAGCGCGCTCCACTACTCGCAGAGTAGCCACTCGCACATGGCCTGGATCAAACCCAGGGGATATACGATATGTTAATCAAGACAAAGGAAGACGTTTTGAGCAGGCCGAACTATTCTCCTTTTGATGCCCACATGGCACATGCGACGTGCCGTTGACTTATCGGATGCGGACGCAGCGATCATATCGCGTTCGCGTCGAGGTGGGGTGCGGCGTCTGTTATGGGAGGCTGCGGGGGTGGGCCAGGCCTGCTGTAGCGCTCGGGTACCCACATGTTATGGAGGCTGCGGGAGTTGGCCGGGGCAGCTGTGGCGCCCGAACAACAACATGTTATGGGAGGGGTCCGGAGAGGTGGCCAGGCCCGCTCTGGCGCTCGAGCTCCCGACTTGGGCACCGCGGTCGTTTTCCCTCCTCCTCCCTCCTCCCTCATCCGCCTCTTCCGTCCTCCCTCCTCGTCCGCTTCCCTCCTCGGTAGGGACCCCCCCCGTAGAATCATAGCTTGGGTTGCAAGTGCAAGGCCCCGTGGATCCATTTCCCCTGGGGTCCCTTGTACCAGCTATTTTTATAGATTTATTCCACGAACAGAATTGGATCCACGAAGCTTCCGCGCCAAAAAATTGGATCCAGAAGACACGGAAATTTGATCTACGTGACTCTGGCACACGTAATTGAATCCAAATGGATCCATGCGTTCCCATGCAAGAGGAAAAAACGTTCGGCCTGGGGATGAGGAGTTTTGCGCCCCTTCTGTCCTTCAGCACGCTGCACGTGTTGGCTGCGCCCCTTCTGCCCTTCAGCACGCTGCACGCGTTGGTGGGGGAGACAGGGGTCAAAACCCGACTGAAGAGTTTTGCACCCCTTCTGCCCTTCAGCGCGCTGCACGTGTTGGCGGGGGAGACGGGGTTTCAAACCCCACTGAAGAGTTTGCGCCTTTCTGCCCTTCAGCACGCTGCACGTGTTGGCGGGGGGGACGGGGGTCAAAATCCCATTTGAGCAGGCCGAAAGATTGTCCTCTTGAGGCCCACATGACACATGCGAAGCGCCGTTGACTTTAGCGGATGCGGACACAGCGACCATATCGCGCTCGCGTCGAGGTGGGGCGCGGCATCTGTTATGGGAGGCTGCGGGAGTTGGCAGGGCCCGTTGTGGCGCTCGAACACCCACATGTTATGGAGGCTGCGGGAGTTGGCCGGGGCAGCTGTGGCGCTCGAGCAACGACATGTTATGGGTCCCCCCGCCTCCCTCCCTCATCCGCCTCTTCCGTCCTCCCTCCTCGTCCGCCTCCTTCCTCCGTCGGGAAGCCCCTCCCCCGTAGAATCATAGCTTGGGCTGCAGGTGCAAGGCTCCGTGGATCCATTTCCCCTGGGGTCCCTTGTATAAATTACTGTTGTAAATTCATTCCGGGAAAAGAATTGGATCCACGAAGTTTCCACGCCGAAGAATTGGATCCAAAAGACACGGAAATTCGATCCACGTGACTCTGGCACATACGTAATTGGATCCAAATGGATCCATGCGTTCCCATGCAAGATGAAAAAAATTCGGCCTGGGGATGAAAAGCGTTGCACCCCCTTCTGTCCTTCAGCACGCTGCACGTGTTGGCGGGGGAGACGGGGGTCAAACCCCACTGAAGAGTTTTGCACCCCTTCCGCCCTTCAGCACGCTGCACGTGTTGGCGGGGAGCACGGGGGTCAAAACCCGACTGAAGAGTTTTGCACCCCTTCTGCTCTTCAGCACGCTGCACGTGTTGGCGGGGGAGACGGGGGTCAAAACCCCACTGAAGAGTTTTGCACCCCCCCTGCCCTTCAGCACGCTGCACGTGCTGGCGGAGGAGACGGGGGGTCAAAACCCCACTTGAACAGGCCGAAAAAATTTCCTCTTGAGTCCCACATGACAAATGCGAAGCGCCGTTGACTTTAGCGGATGCGGACGCAGCGACCATATCGCGCTCGCGTCGAGGTGGGCTGCGGCATCTGTTATGGAAGGCTGCGGGAGTTGGCCAGGCCCGCTGTGGCGCTCGAACACCCACATGTTACGGAGGCTGCGGGAATTGGCCGGGGCAGCTGTTGCGCTCGAGCAACGACATGTTATGGGAGGGGTTCGGAGAGGTGGCCAGGCCCACTCTGGCGCTCGAGCTCCCGACTTGGGCACCGCGGTCGTTTTCCCTCCTCCTCCCTCCTCCCTCATCCGCCTCTTCCGTCCCCCCTCCTCGGTAGGGAAACTCCTCCCCCGTAGAATCATAGCTTGGGCTGCATGTGCAAGGCTCCGTGGATCCATTTCCCTTTGGGCCCCTTGAATTAATCATTGTTATAAAAGTACTCCAGGACAAGAATTGGATCCACGAATCTTCCGCACCAAAAACATTCATCCAGAAGACACGGAAATTCGATCCACGTGACTCTAGCACACACGTAATTGGATCAAAATTGATCCATGCGTTCCCATGCAAGAGGAAAAAACGTTCGGCCTGGGGATGAAGAGTTTTGCACCCCTTCTGCCCTTCAGCACGCTGCACGTGATGGCGGGGGGGACGGGGGTCAAAACCCTACTGAAGAGTTGTGCACCCCTTCTGCCCTTCAGCACGCTGCACGTGCTGGCGGGGGAGACGGGGGTCAAAACCCCACTGGTTGTTCGGACGTGTGCGAATAGGCACTCTGCGAGTGGTGGAACGCGCTCGGCGATGTACGGCGGGCGCGGTCCTCCCACTTCTCGCTCCCGATCTTGTTCTCCATCGTGGCGAGCTCGTCCGTGAACTTGCCGGCCGCGAAGCAGATCGTGGCAAACTCCCTGGCAGGTGGCGCCCGCGGGCGAGGCGGGCCCCGCCTCCTCCTCCCCTCTCGGCTCCTGTTGGGCCCCCCGCCATGGTGCACCGCCTGCTCCTCCTCCTCCTCCTCCTCCTCCTCCTCCTCCTCCTCATCTCCTCCTCCTCCTCCTCCTTCGCACTCCTCCGTACTCCTCCTCCTCCTCCGCACTCCTCCTCCTCCTCCTCCTCCTCCTCCTCCTCCTCCTCCTCCTCCTCCTCCTCCTCGAGTGTTCGATTATTCGATATGACGCGCAACACAAGCACAACGCACTGCAGATAAGAAATCAGACTGCCCCCGAGGCCTAAGGCCGATGGTCAGAGGCAGGGAGAGCAACAGAGGGCCCGATCCTGGCATCGGGTCATGGAAGGAGGCTCCTCTTGAGCTTTCCTGCTCTCGGGGGAACCTTGGCCTCCGACCCGCTGTGCACGTCGTGAAGCCACCGCGGACCGAGCGGCATACCACGGAGAGTCCACTACTCTCGATCCACGCCATATGCGATGTGTGGCCCGGGAGCCTGAGGCACACGTTACATTGCCTCTTCCCGAGATGGAAAACAACAACATGATATCGGTGGGGCTTGGGGAATGGCTTCCTGGGTCCGACACGCGACCGACCCAACTGCCCCAACTCCCCCAAACTGGGCTATGCCCCGTGAGTCTTCCCCATCCCATGCAATAGGGTAATGCGCATCTTCGTCGTGACATTCATAATCTCAGCGAAAGCCTCACTGACACCGTGCATTATGTTGCCTTGGGCGAGCAATCAGAATTCTTCTGAGACAACCTCTTCGCTCAAATAGCCCTTGGTTTTGACCACACGCGAGGGGCTGGCCAATGCTTTCGCGACCGACTTCCCGCAAAACTGTGGTTCTGTGGGTTGGCCCCCAAAAGGCCCAGGTGTGGGCACTCTGAAACCTGCAGGCGCACAGACATCATCACTGAAAATGGATTGCGGTCATGTCGGCAGCATGTTCTGCCGTTCCGCACCTGTCCGAGCGGCTCGGGATCCGCAAACGAGCCTGCCTTCCAGGGTCCACCTGCACCACACTGAGGACCGCTCGGGAGAGGTGGCCAAGGTGGGGGAGGAGGCAGGACCAGTCCGCGAACGGGAAGGCGCCGGGGGGGAAGGTGAAGGCGGGGCCCCCCCCCGTGCGCGCCGAAACAAACAAGCTGCCAGTCCACGATGGGCGGCTCGGCTCCTCCATCGAGCCTTGCACGCCATCCCCTGGAGAGGAGGGAGCTAGGGTTAGGTCGGGCATGTCCCCCTACAGGCGGACTTTGGACGAAACCATAAAAATACTCAAGTATACTTCAACATAGTCAACACATACTCGAAAAATCGTCCCCAGGATATTTTTGACTATTCTTTGATACTCCTCCTGTAGAGGGACAGGCCCAACTTAAAGCTCGGGGCCTGTGTCGGTGGCCTGCTAGATCACCTCGCGAGGGAAGAGATCTTCCCTGGCCGCAGAGACTTCTGGGAGGCTGGCTTTCCAGACTCTGTTTGGCCTGTTTCCACCACCGCTATCATACGTTGGAAGGGGAGGGGGTCATCCTCCTCCACCTCCACCTCTTCCTCCTCCTCCTCCTCCTCCTCCTCCTCCTCCTCCTCCTCCTCCTATTCGTCCTCCTCCTCCTCCTCGTCCTCCACCTCCTTCCCCCCTCCAACTCATGGAGGTGGTGGTGGAAAACAGGCCCATCACTCTGTACAAGGCCGTGGATCGCACGTGCTGCGGGAAGAGCGAACTTTAACGCCCCACCTGGCCAGAGAGGCCACCGCGGGGAGGGTCCCGCAAGAACAAGCAACTGCTTGAACTGGCCTTTCTCCAAAGGGGTTGGGTCGAGCTTCTTGGAGGCCAACTTCTGCCTGGCAACCGCCTACCCGGGTCCTCCAGAGAAACTGCCCTGGTTGTCAAATCATTTCTTTTTAAATGCACCCACACACATTCCCCCCTAAGGTTTTTGGATGAGAACCTGTTTCCGATAGCAGGAGGCGAATACTCGGTCAGTTTGAGTTCCGCTCCCAAACTTCGGTCGGGCATGTCCCCCTACAGGCGGATATTGGAGGACACATTCAAAATAGTCAAAGCAGACTCCACAAATGACATAAAATAGTCGAACAATCGCTCCCAGCCTAATTTTTTTTGTTCTATACTATTTTTGACTATTCCCCCTGTAGAGGGACAGGCCCGACTAAATCCCAAATTATCCGAGACGATCCCAAGACGGACTAGGCCCTAATCCGCCTCCTTACACCACGAGAGGGCGTCCGGTGCTGAGCCCTTCTCAAGCTGGCCCAGGATGCCCTCAAGAGGGGCAACGATAGGGGGGGACTGGCATAGGGGGGGATGCATCGACCTCGAATCGGCGATACATCGCCGATAGATCGGCGATATGCCCCCGACAGTGAATCCGCACGTTCCTGGGCAGGTCGGGGCTGTCGGGCCCCTATCAGCGATCCATGGGCGATTGGAGCCTCCCCGATACCTATCTCCCCCTATCGTTGCCCGTGACCTCAAGAGGGGCCCAAGACGGTCCCAAGACGGTCCACGAGGCATCCAAGACGGCCCAAGATCGGGGGCACGCAAGCATGGACTAGCGATCCATGGATTTGGCGCGCGGTCGCCAAATCCATGGATCGTGGGAGGTGCCCTCCCCAAAATGCGGCCGGTGCCGCCTCGCTCGGCGGCGGAAATCCGCGATTTCCCATGGAAACGGGACCAATCGCTAATCCACGCCTCTTTGGTCCATGTTTGCGATCGCCTGCTTGCCTGCGTCGCGCAGGCTCTCGTAGGACCGAAGCCCGCCCATCTCCACGAAGCAGCTGGCCTTGCAGAGCACCATTGGGTGACGCAGGCTGTCCGCCTCCGAAATCCGCCACCGCGACTCGAAGCACGAAGTGGAGCGTCCTCCGTTCCCCGGGCGCCCCCAATCCTCGATACGAATGCTGGAACCAGTTGAGCATCACCCACGCAGAACTAGAAGAAGAGCCTCGAGAGGGGGCACCCGAATACACCTTTCGAGCGCTCCGCCCCAAGAGGACCCCCGAGAGACCGCCGAGGCAGGTTCTGGAGAGGCCCCCGATCTCAGGCCCCGGGAAGCCCCCCGCGAAGGGCCCCCGAGAGGCCGCCTCCCGGACGCCCCAGAACCGCCTCCGGGAGGTTTCTTCGGCGGCGGGCGAGGGGGCGAAAGGAGAAGGAGAAGGCCTCCTCCTCCTCCTCCTCCTCCTCCTCCCTCGGCAGCGAGGGGAACTGAGAAGGAGAAGGCCTTCTCGGAAGGCGGCGGGACTTCTCAGAAGCTCTCGCGACTTCTGAGAAGGTGTTTTTTGCTGTCTTCGGGGAAGGCTGAGAAAACTTCTCAGAAGGCCCTGGAGCTTCGGAGCCTTCTGAGAAGGCCTTCTCCGTCTCACTTCCCCTCCTCGCTCACCGCCGACTTCTGGAGAGGCACGCAAGAAGTTTATGACATCAACATCCAGTAGTGAGGATGAGATGCTTCAAAGTCCACAGCAAGGCCTCAGAGTCGCTTCCGGGAGGCGTCCTGAGAGGCATGCAAGAAGCCTCCGACGTCAACATCTATAGTGAGGATGTGATGCTTCATCAGAAGGATACCCTTGCATCCCTGCTTCTTCAGCATATCCTGAGCCGATGTTGACGTCAAAGGAGCTCTGAATGGAAAATGGGGCGTCCGAGCGTCTTGCATCCTTACCTTGCACCCTTACTGTGAGTTGTGGCCAGACACAACGGCGAGATGGGCCGAAGGTCAATGGATAATCCTTATGATGCTCTGCCCGTCACAGCCTTCCTGCTCCTGTGCTCTCACCTCTGCCCCTGCACCTGCCCCACCTCCTGCTCCTGCTCCTGCTGCTGCTCCCCTACCTTCTCTTCGCCTCCTCCTCCAACTCCACCCCGCATTCTCATGCTGTCCCTCCTCCTCCTCCTCCTGCTCCTGCTCCTGCTCGTCATCCCTCCACCTCCTGCTCCTCCGTGACCCCCACTCCGTATTCCTGTACTCCTTCGTTCCCTCGGTGGCCTCACAACCTGTCCGGGACGGGAGGGCCTGTTCGAGCATTGATTCAGGAAAGACTCCTCCTGCACAGCGTTGGCATTTTGGATCTGCTCCAGAATCGTGTTCATGATGTAAGCCGCGCCCCTCGCCGGCACCGTGGGGAGGGAGGCAGTATACCCAAAAAACTGTTTTCGCCAGGCCCGTTTTTGACGGGCCTGTCTGACGAGGCGGCCTCTCCGCCAAAAGCTCAGACAGCGAGCCTGCAGAGCAAGGTAAGCCGACTTCCCGTTTGTTCTGTCACTTGCCTCTTGTCGCCCAAGTTCCTCTGGCACCACGGACAACCCCAGATACCTATTTAGAAACGCAAGATGCATCCCACAACTCTGCGCTCCGAGATGCTGCTAGAAAAGGTGTCCCAGCACGTTTCGCCTGAAACATCTTCGCGACTCTGGGCTCGGAGATGCAGCGCACCAATTGGTCTGGCACGTTTCGCACGAGACATCGCCGCACCCCGAAAACCGTTTCAGGACGACGCAAAACATCTCGGGATCTCCGGATGGCCCCAAAGTGGCCTCAGGGCGGCGCCTCGACAAGCAGAAACCGTGAGAATCGAACTGTCTTTGGCACATGCCTGACGCTCCGCTTTGCAAGTCAGTATGGCTCGAAAAGGGCCCTAGATGCTTCCAAGAGGACACAAAAAGCCCAAGGAACCCCACTGTGGGAGAGAACGCGTTTCGTGGACGCTTGCCTGGCAAAAACACCTTGCCACGTTGGAACCCTAATACATCAATACATTTAGCACCCCTGGAGAACCAGCCACCCCTCGAGAAGGAAGGGGAGGTTCGAACCAGGCCCAAACGACTGGGAATCGAACCAGGAGGGGGCCCCCCCTGAGTGCAAGGGGGTGGTTTTCCTCCTCTTCCTCCTCCTCCTCCTCCTCCTCCTCCTCCTCCTCCTCCGATTTCTCCTCCATCCTCCC